TGTGTTTGTGGTTGTGTGTTTGTGGTTGTGTCTTTGTGGTTGTGTTGTTGTGGTTGTGTGTTTGCGGTTGTGTGTTTGTGGTTGTGTGTCTATTGTTGTGTGATTGTGGGTGTGCGTTTGTTGTTATGTTTGTGGTAGTGTTTGTGGTTGTGTGTTTGTGGTTGTGTCTTTGTGGTTTTGTTGTTGTGGTTGTGTGTTTGTGGTTTAGTGTTTGTGGTTGTGTGTCTGTGGTTGTGTGTCGATTGTTGTGTCTTTGTGGGTGTGTGTTTGTTGATATGTTTGTGGTTGTGTTTGTTGTTGTGTTTGTGTTCGTGGTTGTGGTTGCGTGTTTGTGGTTGTGTTTGTGGCTGTGTGCTTGTGGTTATGTGTTTGTGGTTGTGTTTGTGGTTGTGTTTGTGGTTGTGTGTTTGAAGCATACTATCTGCCATTCAATATGCCATTCAATCTGCCATTCTATCTGGCAATCTATCTGACATAATATCTGGCATACTGTCTGGCATTCTATCTGGCATATTTTCTGGCATTCTTTCTGGCAATGTATCTAGCAATCTATCTGACACACTATTTGGCATACTATCTGCCATATCTTCTTGCAGCATTCTATCTGGCAATCTACTTCGCATTCTATCTGGCATTTTATCTGGCAAACTATCTGGTTGAGGTCCAGCGGTGCACACTGCGATCGGATCCTTGCGGTTGAGGTCCAGCGGTGCACACTGCGATCGGATCCTTGCGGTTCAGGTCCAGGGGTGCACACTGCGATCGGATCCTTGCGGTTGAGGTCCAGGGATGCACACTGCGATCGGATCCTTGCGGTTGAGGTGCAGGGGTGCACGCTGCGAAGGGATCCTTGCGGTTGAGGTCCAGGGATGCACACTGCGATCGGATCCTTGCGGTTGAGGTCCAGGGGTGCACACTGCGAGGGGATCCTTGCGGTTGAGGTCCAGGGGTGCACACTGCGATCCGGAGCTGGCCAGACAAGATCGGCGAAGCAGATTGGCGAAGCAGATTGGCGATGAAGATTGGCGAGGCGATGAAGATTGGCGAGGAAGGAAGCAAGGAGGAAGGAAGGAAGGAAGGAAGGAAGGAAGGAAGGAAGGAAGGAAGG